AACATGCTCTTGAAATAAGTGTTTACAGAGATTATTGATATTGAAGTGAGGAACGTATTTATACGTTCAATCTCACTCACTCATTATTCCTACAAACACTCAACATTTCCATGGATCATCTATTAATGTAATAAGTGTAGAATGTTTGTGATATAAATGCTAGAATAATGCATCAAAGGTATGAGATTCCTTCGAAACACTTTGAAAAAGACAAATTTCCAAATGATAAATCAATTATAAAAATAGCTAAGAATTCATTCGAAAGGTTTTTGTTCCATAGAAGTCAAAAATAAATATATTGATAACTATTCTGATATGACACTGAAAATAATTCATCATTTTACATCATTGAAAAAACTATTGTTTGTTTCATCGAAATAGTTTCATTATTGATTTGAATTAGATTTACTTCAATAAAAAATATAGTAATGTATAGTTAGTTTCTGAAGAAATACCGATCAAATCCATCTTAATTTTCTACAATGAAAAAATATTTTTCGATTTTATCTTCTAATATTATTTATTGAAACATTTTCGAATAGAAACAATAGGATATTCTAGATTGTTTTTTCTCTGTAATCGATTTAGACACGTTAAGTATATCAAATAGACCACAAAGTAAGACAGAATACAAGTAGTAATGAGTAAATTATGAGCTAAGGTGTAGATTGTTGGTGTTTATGAAAACAAGCTCATCTACACGCACATCTTCATTATTCTGTTGTCTTAATTTTTGGTTTGAAGGAAATTGACATACTAAACTTGCATTATAATCTTTACTGAGTAGAGTTCAAGAACAAATGACAACATCAATGCAATTTTAATCATATAACTTTCAGCACCACTCAAAACTCCTTTACAAATATAACTCTAAAAACTCTATCTAGACATGATATTCATTCTCTCTGAATTTTGTTTCATTTTAAGTGCTTCACTCTTTGTTAAACTAGTCGTTATCTTTATTGTCAACAGAAAGCAAAATAAAAAGCAATTCATTACAAAAAAAACTTAATAAATAATGTCATGCCTTGCTTTCTTTTTATGATATCTAAGAGTTTCTCTTGTTCTCACCTTATATTACCATAAGTGTTTGTATACATAGAAACAAGTCAATAGACATCATTGTTTGAAAATGTATGATGAATTTCTGTATTAGTAGGTTAATTTTTTAGTCAATTGAGAGTCTAATATCGTGCGAAAGCGATGAAAGCATAGATAAAATGTTACTATTGATGTTCTTCTACTATTCTTGAGGTGTGGGTATGGGTGTAAGTGAAGAGAAGATAAACACCCACACCCACACCCTTATTTAATAGGACTTGAGGAACTATTGATACCCCCTATATAATAGAACTTGCGGACCTATGAGTATCCCCATAGAACACTTAAGGAGTCATAGATATCCAGCCTGTGATGCCCCTATGGAATCCTGAAGATGGTATGTGTAACGTTTCATGATGATCAACTCATAGAGCTAAACTATTTGGAAAGGTTCAGTTCGTTGAAAAGAACTGTTCAAATAGTTCAGTTTGTGGTAGTGAGCGTTTTGAACAGTTCATCAGTTCTGAACTAGAGCTGAACTTGTTTTAGGTAATAAAGATCGAACACAAGTTTTTCTCTAACGTTATATTGATTTTATTTAAAATTTCATTTAATATTAATATTTAAATAAATAAAATCTAATTGATCTATTCTATCTCTCGTCGTTTTTTTTTCTCTCTTCTATAATTAAGTTTAACCTCAATATTCAAACTCTATTAGCATGGAAAAAAAACACATAAAATTATTTTCTTTCCTGCAGGTATCGTTACCATATAACATAAGCACTCTTTCGATCCTCCTTATTATCATTAATCTCTAAACATTCGATTTGATCATATCATCTAAAGATTAGTTCTATCCTGATCGAGATTTTAGAGAATAATTGGAAAATATTCTCAATTGCTATATATATGTTGACCAAGGTGATTTGATGATTCGTTTCAAGTAGTTTAAATAGATGTTAGATATCTCTAGACGATAAATAAATATCATCATTTTGGAATTTTATCCTATATTATATATCGGGTAAACTGATTTTATTTTATTTTCGAGATAAAATGTTGATTACAGAATAAGATTGAATCCTAATCGAAAAATGTCGAGATTGATAGTTGTCTCATCTTCGAAGACCGGAACGAGATTTTACGCATATTATATCTTATTAGAATATTTCAATCGAAAAAACAATTTTCAATGAAAATAAAAGATAATTCGATATAAAATAGAAGGTTTTATTTCAATGTAAATGGTTCATTGTTTAAAATAAGTCTAAGGTTATCTCGATAAATAGTTAACTGTTAGAAATAAAACATCTCTATTAGAAAATGATTTGTTTATATTATATTCGAATATTTGGTAAAGAATTGATTATCGAAGGATTCTCTGTTCTTCTTCGTCGTTCCATTATATAATTATTATATTGAAAAAAAAGAGTGCGCATGACATCATTTAATAGAAAGAATTCTTTTATTGAGGGATTAGCAAATGAGAATTATTTATCTGATGGTAATCGATCAAATTCCGAACAACGATCAAGACGATCAAGTCTTGCAGAGTATCCTTGGATGAGATTTTCATTTTTTAATTTAAATAAAAAGACAACAACTTATTCTATGTAAATTTTTTTTCAATATATATATATTTATTTTAATTAATATTTTAAATAATCGATTTATATAATAAGATGTTTGTCTTGTTTTTGTTATTATAATTGTAATTCTATTGAATATGGTTATATTATAATATTAATAGATTTATTTATATTAGAGATTCAAAAATAAAATAATATATAGAATTGATATATTCTATTTAAAAATAAAAAATAATTCTCATTTATTATCTTTATTTATGTTTGGTTTATTTCGATTTAATAAAATAGTTTTTTAATATTGAAATGAGGGGAAAAAACCACTGATAAATTATATTCGAAACATATAATATATTCAAAGAATTATTTTCAATGGAAATCGAAATAACTCGATTGATTTAACATATATTATACGAATGGAAGATATTTATTGAAATAAATCAAACTCTTAAATAAATAAATGAAATCTTATATTAATATAATAAATCATTTCAATAGTTAGACTAATATTGATAGAAATAAGATTTTATTCAATTTATTTATTTTAATTTAATTGAATTAACCCTTTGCTAGTGTTTTTTTTTCGTTAAAAATTTTTCTATAGTTTTATAATGAAATTATTTTATATTATTATTGTCGAGTTAAGGTAATAATTATATATTATTGTTTTGAAGAGTATTCAAGTTGTTAAAAAGAATTTTTCAAATTTAACCAAACGTTTTATATTATTTAAATAGATTTAAAGAATAGTTTTCATATTCGTAGAATTAAAAAAACCAAACTTTCATATTAAATCTTTACTGTTGTTTTTTCAAAGCTAATTTAAATAGTTAACTATCTCCTTGGATTTGGTCCAAAATTTGTTATTTATTATATAAATCGATTTCTAGATGAATCTATATTGATTATCTTATTATATATAAAGATTGAAAACGAAAATTATTTATTATTTTAATAATCTATCCTAGAAACATTATATTGACCCGAACAATTTTGGCACAATTTACTCCTCTCTACTGAACAATCGCTAACAGATGATTAATATTTCGTCCGATTTGAACTTGTTTTGTCGAAAATCTGTTTTTAATTGCTAAGTAGAAACATTCTATAAGACGAAATAATGATAAAATAGTTCGAATTATCGATTAAAAATTTCTAAGGAAATAAATTTAATCGATCCTTAAAATCTCATAAAAGCTGAATAATCGTTCGAGGAATCCAACATAAGTGGCTTTCCCTAATAATTATTACGTTTTACTGAAGTCAAAATTTTTTTGTCGCCATCAATCGAATAAGTAATGCTTCCATCGATCTACTAATTAAAATAGATCGACCTGAATCATGATGAATTTCATCACTACGAGAACTTTATCAATGAGAAGCCAGAATGTAGAAAGAAAGTTTTCAAAAGTATAAAATGTAAAAGTACTTCGAGTACTTAATAAATACCTGATTTTGTTAAGCATAAGTGTGTTGAATAAGACTGCTATGTTACTATTATTTTTGATTATTTTTACTCGGTGATTGATAAGAATTTTTATTGCCTATGTTACTTATTACTTGCAAGAAACAACACCGACTATGAATCGATCTCTTCAACAATCTTCAAACTTCCATCAGACCATATCTTTGCCACCTCCCTCCTCCAAGCATTCTGCCACAGACCTATTCAGCCAGCAGCCGTAAAAAATTGATAGAAAATATTAAATGTTTTTGGTAAACAGTATTTAAAACTTCTTGCAGACAATTATACATTTTGAGCGGATAGCCTTCTCCATCTCCTGATCGGAAACTCCGATTGTGGATATCGATGTGGTTTTTAGTGTGATTGAAAAGAAAGAGACCATTCATAGTTTCACTCTCATTCATACTATCATGGTTTCTTTTCATGTTATTTCCGAGTTAGATCAGCTGATTGATAGGAATGACATTTTTTCAATTTCCACTGATAAATAATGTTCTGACTCAAATAAAGCTTAAGCATCAGTAGGAAACAGTAGCTCGAACAAAATGGTCTCTTTTCTGAGTTTTCTTGATTTACAGCTCGAGAGAATAAAATTCTCAAAAAGTATTTATTCTTTATTCGTTTAAATTAAGTTTAAACAATAACATTAAATTGTTTTATTTTAAATGAATATAATTAGAGCTAAAACAAAAACAAAATAACTACTTTATATTAGCATTCATTGAATAATATGGATGTCAATAGTTTTTGTTTTGTATTTTTTTTTTGTTTAAATTAATCTGTTTCGAAAGAAAGAGAGAAATGAGAAGAAAAAATGATTCGTCAAACAAAATAGACAGAAGTATGCCATTGTGTGTGTCAGTATATAAAGATTGTATGAATATACAATAGAAATAAAAGAAAAACATGAGCGTTAATTCATTCGAAATTTTACCTAACGATATTCTTTATGAAATTTTTGTTTATTTGTCTCCAATTGATATTCTTCAATCATTGTTTTTATTGACTAAACGTTTATCAAGAATTATAGCAAATGAATATTTATGGAACATTCATATTGGTGATACAACAATGTCATTATTGATGTTTAATGATCAATGTCAAAATATCTTAAAATTAATAGGTGATCGGGTTGTCTCATTACGTCTAACATTAATTGATATTATTGGTGGATGGTCACTTGTTTCATCTTGTCTTCAGTATCATCAGATATCATTACTTCAACGTTTACATCTGATTGGCATCGAACCACATGAATTTGATAAATTATTGCGTAATCACGTAATAAGACACGTACATACTTTATTAGTTGATGTGACACCATCTAGTTCGTTTAAATTTCTTCAAGTTGAAGGAGTTTATTTAGCTAAGGTAAGAAAAGAACTACTACTTCGATTCACTGGAATTCTGATCTTTTTTTTTCTATTAATAAAAACGTATTGATATAACGATATATTAATTCTAATTGCTTTTAATTTATTAATAGGTGTTTTCAAGAATGCCTCTTCTAAAAATTTGTCGACTTTCTTTTGATCATATTTATAAGAATGTTAATCAAATAGAAAATGATTCATTAGAATATCAAATAACTTTACCGAATTTATTAAATACAAAGCATCTTCGTACATTGACTATTGGTATACATACATCATATTTTCTCGAGCGTTTACTATTGTGTATACCATTCATTGAGAATCTTTCTTTCGGTGTAAATGATCGAGATAGTGATGAGTATGATACACATGATACAATCTTGTAAGTAACAACTATCATTGATAAAATTATCAATTACATGAATTTTATTAAGATTGCCTACTAGTATTGATACTCATCATCTTCGATATCTATCTCGTCTACGTATTAATTGTATGAATAGCATAAGTTTTCATCGAATTATTGCACTTTTATCATCTGTCTTCGGTCAACTTTGTCGTTTGTCATTAACATTAGCAGCATTTACATCAATATCTGATCCATTGATTATATCAGGTGACATTATTCAACAATTGTGTATTGATCGTCTCCAACCAACGGCAACTTATATTCTTAATCTATTATTATACGTTTTGGATGACATTGAAGAAAAAATAATTTTCAATTCATTTTTTAAAGTTCCATTTATTCATCGACAGCTACCGAGAGTGTTCATTCAAGAACTTGATGATCGAGATTTCGGTTCTATATATCATTCTTTTAGGATATATACTTTACCATATAATGACACAATTCTTTCATCATACATGTTCTCTAAAAATCTTGAAAAGTATCTAGAATATATTTATTTATATAAAGGATGAATCGAAATCTTTTTTTTCTTATATAGGTCTTGTCAAATGCCGATTAATCCATTAAATCTATTTCCACGCGCTCATACATTATCTCTACGTGGTTATAAGAGGAACAATTCTGTTCGAGAACTCGGTAACTGTAGAAGTTCTATATCATCATTGGTTCCATGGTCATCTATAACAAATATTTCAATCAATCATAGTAATGTTCTTACTCCAACCACATTAGAATCAATATTACGAATGGCTTATAATGTACACACACTAGATTTGTTTGATCATAGAGGAATTTTACTTCGTCCAATATTAAATAATTATAATCTCACAACTCTTATCAATCAACAAGTAACGATTTCTATTTCTATTTCTATTTCTATTGTAAGAGAAAAATCTCAATAAAATGATTTTTTTTTTCTAAATGTTTGAATTAACAGTTCAAATTTTCTTTTAAGAAAATGTTTTCCTAAAATTTAATGTGGAAAGAAAAAGATTTAAATCGACTAAATAATTAAAAGAATATTTTTATTTCCTTAAGATAAATTATATTTTCTATTAATTAGATAAAATCATTTGAAATCTTCGATATATCATTGACATTGCAAAATGCTCAACGAATTTGTACATTATTGTCGAATCGATTATCTAACTTAAAGAAACTTTCATTTTCTATTTGTGATGGATATGATCGATGGCGATGGCAACCATCTTGTATTGTTGATGGGAAAAACAAATCTATAAAACGTATTGTTACTCTTATTTATCTGCTTGTTGATCAATTACAAAAACTTGTTTCGCTACGTATCACCTTTTCCAATTCGAGATACTCTGATACACCTTGTTTTCCACATTTAATTCGACGCCAATTGCATCATTATCCACTTAATCAACCATTTCGATTACGAGTTACTTCCAATAAAATTCATATTTGGCTTTAATAATATATTAAGTATATTAGAAAATTTTCTTATTGTAAATTCTTCATATTTATATATCAATAAAATAAAAAGATGTCGAATTGTTTTTTTGCAAGACATAAAATTGAAAGTTTGAAGTTAAATTAATTTTTCTTGATTGAATCTGACATACAGTCAATATTCGACTATAACGTCAATGTTTTAAGATAATTACATCTAGTATCAAAATCTTTTCTTCAGTCACATTATCTAGTCCTCTGGTAGATACTTTTCTATATTAAAAAAATGTCATTAAAAGCAAATGAAATATGAAGGCGAAACCACCAGAATATTATTGATTTAAATATTAAGAAATCTAAAAATAGGATGTCTAACATGAAAATCGTTTGTTTTATCTCATATTATCCATCTATTGATAAAAGTATCCTTTTACAAATTCAGATGCCTTTCAATCGTATTCAATAATTATATAGGAAACTTTTGCGTGACACTTCCATGCATTTGGGAATGAATATATGAATTCTTTTTTGTCTCATTACAATTGACAAATGTATTTAAACGATGCTAATACAGTTTAGTCACATCCACACCCTCATGCTGATTGCTGTATTCAATGTACTAATCAGTGTAAGAATATAACTAAACTGCAGAAGATCCAGAACATTTATTGAATTTGTACTTTAATATTTTATCGCATTGGTTTTATCTGAACAAGCATCTCCTATTGAATCATATTAATAATTCTACGAGATTATGATTGATAGATTTAATTGACCGATCAATATAAAGTCTCAACAGTAACTAATATTTTGGCTAATTAATATTCAATCTGGCATTCTTTTTAGTTAATTTTACTTGAATAAATCTTTAAGAAGAATACTTTTTCTTTTTTTGTATGTTCAATACTGATCCTTGTCACATATTTGAAACAAACATAGCAAACGAACGAGATTGATTATACATTTTCTTCACGATTAATTTAATAGATATGTATACAACTTAAAAAATAGTAAATATCTGATATTTCTTTTAGTAACTTTGTGGTTACAATCACATTAGATTCTTCGAATACTTTCCTTATTTCGTTACACTAGTCTCGATCTTACACTTCTAAGAAACTGGAAAAAACCTTTATTGTCACATTAATTCTAATTTTATCAACCTCGATCTACGAGATTAAAAAAACATGTTGTCAGAAGTGTTTACTTCTTGTCATTGTCCAATGAATGATGTCAAGTTACTTTGTATCACTAGGTAACTATATTCATATTGTATATTTTTTAATGGTATTGATTTATAGATAACAAATAAAATTCAATGTGCTAACAGGGAACATTTCCAGGTGCAGGAGCACCTTTCAGCCGAGGTTTTGCGCATCTTGTAGCACATTGCGAGCTGTGTCTATGGTAAAAAAAAAAGTTCGTGTTTCTGGCTTGTTTCTGAGTAAATATCGAGCTTCTAGTGAATTTTCTCTATAGTACGCCCACATTGGCAGCAAAGTTATACTTTCGAATTTTGACCTGAAACTTTGCCTGCATAAAGGTCTCAGCTAGACTAGTTTGCATAAAAAATTTCAAAAGTTTTGGACAAAGTTTTTTCAATATACGAAACTTTGAAAAAAATTCATACTATATGTATTATTTATGAAAAAGGGATTATATTTTGATTGTTTCATATCTTAGAGAGACTTTATTCAAAACTTCTGAAATTTTTTATGCAAACTAGTCTAGCTGAGGCCTTTATTCAGTCAAAGTTTCAGGCCAAAATTCGAAAGTATAACTTTGCTGCCAATGCGGGCATACTATAGAGAAAATTCACTAGAAGCTCGATATCTCCACAGAAACAAGCCAGAAACCCGAACTATTTTTTAATCATAGATACAGCTCACAATGTGCTACAAGATGCGCAAAATCCCGGCTGAAAAGTGCTCCTGCACCTGGAAATATTCCCTTGTAAGTTATGTACAACGTTTGCTTAATCATAAACTATTTCTTTGTTGTCTGGTTTTGTTCAGCATTTCTTACCGACTGATCTGAACTTCTCTAAGTCTTTTGCACACTTTTTTGTTCGCAAATCAAACATTTTTTCAATGACACCAAAGACTAGTTTTGGAAGAAGATATGTATTACAGTTTTCTATTAAGTGACAATTCATTAGAGCATACTGAATTTATTTTATCAAGCTATGCTGTCGAAAAAATCCATATAACGCAAATAATGTAATACGGAGAACAGATCAAGTATACAATTTATTATTTGTATCGATTTCGAACAAACATGAATCAGTACATAAATCCTGTATAATCTCTGTTCAGCGATTGCGATCTGCAGAGAAAAACCTATAGTAGCAAATTAGGACTTGTTTGTAAACTTTTGTACTGATCAAGAGGTAGGTATCACGTGCATATGACCAAAAAAATGAAGAATAACTAATATCAATCGAACGGCCAAGTCCAGACTAGTTTGGTGTATGAAGACTGATATTATTAATGAAAGAACCGACATTAGTATCGACAAAATGGGTCCGGTTCACTTTGCCGACACCATCTTGCCGACAGATCACTATGCTGACAGGTACACTTTGCCGACAAAATTTGTTCATACCTTAGCGTACTAAATCTAGTAGTCTCCAGGGTATCTTGAAGGTAGGCGTGAGGGATGGGCTGTGAAGATGCAGTTGGAAGTGAGGAGATGACCCTTGCTCTCATCCTCACTCCAACTGCACCCTTAAAACTCGCTCAGGCACCTTCAAGTGTACAACTTACAGCTGAGCCCGAACCCTCACTCTCACCCCAACTGCATCCTCACAGCCTATCCCTCACTCTCAAGATACCATGGAAACTACTAGATTTAATAGGCTAAGATATGAACAAATTTTTGTCGCAAAACAAGTTGTCGGCAAATTGTACCTGTCGGCAAAGTGATCTGTCGGCAAAATGGTGTCGACAAAGTGAACGCGACCCGACAAAATAGTTCATGAGAAACTTTTTCATATTTCGTACTTATTAGATTTTATTTCATCCAGAATAGTCTCATTTCAAACAAGTAAATCTGCCCTAGTAAACTAATCTACTTCATATTAGAGTAATTATATGCTTTTATATTTATGTGTATTTTTAGTATACCATCGATTATTAACCAAATAGATAAGTTGTTGGTAGCAAAAGAGTACGCCTTTTTTCTTTGGATACAATATCATTTATTAAATCATGTGTTGTTTGGGAGAATGCCAACATGAGTCTACATTAATGTGTTAGTCGTTCCTCATTCCTAATGAGAAATTGTAAATAACAATAGGTTTGTATAATAGTTAAAACTTCAGAACTGTATGGGGAACTGAAGATCTTCAGAGTCTTGCAGTCATGGGATCTTCTTTCTTTCCATTCTTACATATTCTGTTGAAATTGTAAAATTTCATGAAACTTCACTATACCTTCGTGAGGTTTAGAAAGCTGATAGGCTTCGTGTAAGGGTGTGGGTGTGGGTGTGGGTGTGGGTGTGTGGGTGTGGGTGTCAGTGAATGGCAAAACTACTACCAAGATCCACACCGACACCCACACCCTCAGTCACACCCACACCCACCCACACCCACCCCCACCCACACCCTCAGCCACACCCACACCCACACCCACCCACATCCACACTCACCCCCACACACCCACGCCCACACCCCAAATCTGGAGTTTTGAAGTCTGCAAGGGACTCTTTTCGTATATGCTTAATTATGAAGATTTTGAGATTTTCTTTTTATATTCTACCTTAGTTTTGCAACTTTTCATATAGTTAATCATACTGGCTTGAGGCAGTCTTTTCTTCTTTCTTTGAACTGTGAAATAGTTTGTTAAAAGAGTGCGAAGACATCAAGTTTTGAACTAGAAACAAAATTCTGTCGCATATTCAAAACTCATCGTTTGAATCTCAAAATATTTTCTGTTTCGCTGTTTTGAACAATTTCATATTGATTAACATAGTTCTTTATTTTGTGCACTTCTCGCTCATGATTTTACGGATTGGGGGTGGAGTGTGGGTGTGTGTGAGTGTCGGTGTAGATGTTGGGGTTGGTCTTCTTATCACTCACATCCACACCCACGACTAGCTAGATGCTTCTGTCGTGAATTAATCAATTACAGATCTTATCCTTAGTGTTTTTAAATAATTGAGTATCCAATCCGGAATCATTTAAATTAGATCAAATACATAACATTTTTTAGCCTTTCATATAAAACTTTTGATAAATGGATATTAAACAGGAAAAACATATCTGAGGTGCTACGTTTCTTTTATCCTTGTCATCACACAGTTATCTATCATCTATGTTATATTCTTCCATCTAGTTTTATAATCTTTATGATATGTTAAATTCCGAGTATTTCAGCTCTTATTTATCAATATTTACATTAGTAGATTAGATTCAATGTTTGTTGGTTTTGAATAGACAATGAATAGTAATTTCATAAAAGAAATGGAATATTTTTCTAATGTTGGTTGAATAGAGATATTATTCCATGTTTCAAATGTGATGATATGCTTGTAAAAATACATTATTTTATCAATTATGTTTGATTAACATTTGGAGAAAGATATTAAATTAGATTGAAATCTGATCCAACATTTTTTTTTGTATCTCTCATTCATTGCTGCTAATGCTTTTCAAATAAAATATACGGTTCTCTAATTAACAAGGCTTTTTTATTAATAATATGACACTATGTAACAAGAAAGTTTTATACTTGAGATGAAATTACTATTCATTGATTTTTCAAATACATCAAGCTCTTTGACACCGAAAGCCGAATTCGAAAATTATTTCAGGTAAAAGTCACTGTTTTACGTTGTATCCCTCATATTTATATTTATAAACAAAATTCTTAAATCTATCAAACAAATTAACAATTTAAAGATTAACAATGTCAAAAAGAAAAAAATCTACTTTTGATACACAGTCATAGTCACGATATTTTTCATTGTGAACAAAAATGTTGATTGTCGGCTTTTTATTTAAGCTTCAACTGTTCATTTTGA